CAGTAGACTCGTAACTGATAGGTCCTGGGTTCGAGCCCTGGGCACTCTTCCAATGCCTCTGTTCAACAAGCAGTAAATATATGTATATACCCTGGAGTCGGCCAACTGTTGTGGGAGGCATTCAGAGACGTATCCTCGTTCCCTTCCCATAGCTCATGATAAACCTTACCCTATAGTTTCCCTAGAACACGACTCGCCAATCGGTTAACAACCAGGTAGCAAACTACTGCTGGAAAATAGAAACGCGAACGATTACAGATTGGAGCCCAGTCAATCTTCCTTGGCCAGGACTTGAACGCAGAACAATTCACCGGCGAGGCGGGATGCGAGTGGGTTACCACTGCAAGCCTGACTTATATTGTACGCTGTAAGCTTCAAAATTATGTTGATATGATTAAAAATTGTATTTTGAATGTAATCAGACATAAATATTTATACTATTATATCAGAAACTCGATCCCGTTTAACTAGGTTTATTTATCTCTGTATTTGTTTAATGTTTATAAATTATTTGTTCTAGTTTGATAATTAAGTATTATTGTTTCCATATGAAAATTGGCGGTTAAAGATTTAAAAGTTTATTCTGACGATCGTGGCGTAACTAATATGTTTGTGGTATAACTAATATATTGTGGCGTGACAATTCTATATTAGCGTATTTATATATATATGAAGACAGAGCTGTCGCTGGAAATCTAAAAAAAGCATGTTTTACGAGTATGCAAATTAGGTAATTTACATAATGCGTGTCGGTAATAATTACCCTGTCTGAGCTGATCCTTATGATATTTAACTGTTTGTTTTGGCTGATGGTAAATAAAGTTAGCTTTTGTGCTTGTTTTTAGTAAAAACAATTTGCATGTATGCGTTGCCAGAGAAACAAAGCTGAAATCGTGAGTTACGCTTATTTTATTTATGAGTTACGCTTAATTTATTCGTGCGTAATGCTTAATTTATTCGCAAGCTACTCTTAATTTATTCGCGAGTTACTCTTAATTTATTTTCTACAACATCCATTTTCTGAATGAGCAATTTGATACTTTAGAAGATGTGATATATACGAGAATATATCTATATTTATATATATATATATATATATATAATATATATATATATATATATATATATATATATATATATATATATATATATATAAAGAGAGTTTTCTGGGTGAATCCTTTCAGCGTTTCTTTATTTTTGGTTCAGTTTGATCTTTGATCAAATATATATATATATATATATATATATATATATATATATATATATATATATATATATATATATATATATACAGAAAATCCACATCAGGCCGAAACGTTCACTTCCTTTCACATTTCTCTGTGGATTTTCCGCATAAAAATTATCAGTGTTTTGTGATCGTCAATTGCATATATGTATATATGTTTAAGCTTTGTTTTCTCCCTACATTATTTTATTGAAAGATGAGATTATATTCATATATTTCACTAAATTATATATTTAGTTGCACTAAATATATAGTAATTTTGTTAAGGGGAGTGAGGAGGTAATATTTTATTTATAATATATATTGTAGCCACTTAATGATGGCGGTTTCTGGCAACTTATAATTATGCAAATTAAATGATTATATCACTCGTAATTACAAGTATTTTTAGTGCTTTTGTGGTTAATATTTTTATACCAATTTGCACATTTTATACTTATATATTATATATTAATATTATGGAAGCGATAGCTCTTTTTTGGGGGGTGGGGGGGGGTGTTGTCATGGAAACGAGGCATAAATCACATATGTGATTTAAACGATTCTTCGCGGCAGGGGATCGTATTCCAGGGACCATAGGATTAAGGACTTGCCCGAAACGCTACGCGTACTAGTGGCTGTACAAGAATGTAACAACTCTTGTATATATCTCAAAAAAAAACAAAAAAAAAAAAAAAAAAAAATATGTATGATAATATTTTCCACAACAGCCAATACCTGGAAGGCCTGGTTCATGGCTTTTATGGAAATGCTTTCGTATCTACGACTGTAGTAGAGGATAGTTTTAATAATCTTATATGTTCCTTGGTCCAGACGTGGCTCTTTGGAGCCTGCCTGCCCTTCACACACCCGGCCTGCCTGCCTACACACACCCGGCCTGCCTATACACACCCGGCCTGCCTATACACACCCGGCCTGCCTATACACACCCGGCCTGCCTGCCTACACACACCCGGCCTGCCTATACACACCCGGCCTGCCTATACACACCCGGCCTGCCCACCCTCCACACCCGGCCTGCCCACCCTCCACACCCGGCCTGCTGCCCACCCCTACCTCCAACATCTTGGAGACGCCCGACCCGGCCTTTCCAGACACGGATTCCGGAAGTTCGCCAAATGATGATAATTAAATTAATATCCCGAAATGATGGGAGTTCTTGTCCATTACCTTGTGTCTTTCGTGGGAGGGGAGGTGGAAGGGATGGAGGGAGGGAGGGAGAGGCCAATTCCTAGTAAGGTTGTGGGATGGAAGTGATGAAAACATAGATAAATAATGAGGTAGGTAGTGAGAAATGAGAGGAAGAAAGGTCAAGAGATTAAGGGAGAGAGGAGAGGGAAGAGGAATAGCCGGAAAGAGCGAGGGAGGATAAGGAATGGAGGTAAGGAGAGAGAGAGAGAGTAGGAACAACAAAGAGAGTCCTGGATTCACTTCACATTCTCTCTATTCCCTCGTTCATTACATGCTTCTACCGTCTTTATTATCTCTCTCTCTCTCTCTCTCTCTCTCTCTCTCTCTCTCTCTCTCTCTCTCTCTCTCTCTCTCTCTCTCTCTCCATCTTCCACCTTTCCCACTCAAAGGCCCTTTTTCCTCTCTTTATTTCAAATTATTATATCTTTTCTTCTACCCGCTATCTTTCCTCTTACTTCCATTACCTCTCACTCTCTCTTCTCCCCTCTTTCCTCCCTCCTTTACTCACCATTTCCTCTTCCCCTTTCCCTCACTCACATTAACTTTCACCAGTTGCCCTTCCTCCTCGCTAATTACCTTCTCCTAATTACTCTCTTTCGTGAATTGAATACCTCGCTTTTCTGCCAGTTTTAATTATCATTATTTTATTATTATGTTCAGTTTGCCTGTGGAGGCTCTGGAGGGGTCGTCGACCCCCGCCCTGGGGCCAGACGCACCTCCCCCCCCCCTGTGTGTGTGTGTGTGTGTGTGTTCACTTATTTGTACCTGCAGGATCGAGCTCCAGTTCTTGGACCTCGCTTTTCTAGCCGTTTATTGTCTTATTCAATGATCCTTGACCTATTTCTCTGTCATACCTGTTTGCCTCAACAACCTGTTCCTTTGGGTCATTCCATTTACTCACTACTCTTATGCTAAATGAAAACTTTCTAACATCTCTATGACACATCTAAGTCTCAAGCTTCCATCAGTGCCCCCCCTTGTTCTGTTGTTATTCATTGTAAACATTTCCTTTTTCCACCTTATCAATTCCTCTAAGTATTTTATACGTCTGTATCATGTCCCCCCCCTCTCTCTCTCTTTCTTTCTAACGTCGTCAGGTTTAGTTCTTTCAGTCTTTCTTCGTACCTCATCCCTACCAGCTCTGGGACGGGTCTCATTGCAAACTTCTGCACTTTTTCGAGCTTCCTTATGTGTGTTTTTTTATTTAGATGCCGGCTCCAAGATGGGGCGGCATATTGTAAGACTGACCTCACATAGACGGTATACAGTGATCTAAAAGCCTCTTTCTCCAGGTTTCTGAAGGATGTTGTGACTTGCCATTACAGTTGAGTATGCGGCTGATGTTATTAAGTGCAGGCGATGAGACACAATAACGTGGCTGAAGTATGTTGACCAGACCACACTCTAGAAAGCGAAGGGACGACGACGTTTCGGTCCGTCCTGGACCATTCTCAAGTCGATTGTGACTTGAGAATGGTCCAGGACGGACCGAAACGTCGTCGACCGTCCCTTCACCTTCTAGTGTGTGGTCTGGTTGACTTTTTTATGTGTTTAAACGCGCCCTTACAGGCTACTGATACCTTTCCTCACCCCCAACTTGCTTACGTCAATTGTTTCCTCATTCTAGGAGAGTCTTGTACCTGAAATAACTCCCCCCCACCACCCCCCTCCTTCCCCCTCCCAAAACCTGCTCCAATCTCCATCCACACCCACCCAGCCCCCACCCCCCACCCCGGCAATCATTCCCATGGTTAAGCGTAATTTCCGACAGTGTGTGAGTTCTCTAGCATTTCTATTGCAAGCTTGCAATTTCCTCTCCTCTTGGGCCTGTGATCATATCTATCCTCAAGCTACCAATCTACGGCTCTCCAATTCAGCGTCTTTCGTATATTTGCCTTTTTTGATTGATGTTTTTTTTTACTGGTGTTTTAAAACTGAGCGGTAATGAGAAAATGGGAATACAAAGTTCACAGACTACGATGGATGGAGACGCCGAGCTGAGAGAGGACTTTGATATGGTGAATGACGTTTCGCTTTTAAGGGTTTCAGCACATCAGATGTGAGTGACTTGGTAAAGCTCTTGGAGAGAGAGAAATGTTTTCTAAAATTAAATTTTACGTTCAGATTGGTGTTATGTGGGTTTCAGTATTGTGTGTGTGTTCGTGGGGATGTTTTATTAATCAATATTGAGGTTATTCTAACCCTTAGTGACCATCAGTCGCCCAGTGTTCAGTAAATAGTTCAGTAACCCCTCCTGAGGTTGATAGGCTTTGATAGTCCTCTATGGGATGATTGTTCTTAATAATCCTCTAGAGGGTGATAAGCCTTATTAACCCTCCAGATTTGATAGGCCTTATTAACCCTCTAGAGGTTGATAGGCCTGAAGCCCAACATAAACTTATGAGCAAATCACTAACAGAAAATGAATTTTTTTGAATTTGAACACTGGCGCCGAATTATTTATTTTTGAATTTGTGTAAACTATATCTACTTTATCCTGCTGCTATTAACATGGTATTATATTGACAAAAATGTGAAAGTATAAAATAAAAATTTTCTTATAGAAATATTTAGCATTATTTATTAATCTCTGGAAATTTTAACATAAATTAATTATTTTAAATATTCTGCTATCCTTTCTCTGGCCGTAATAGTATCACACAGACGATCATTCCAGTGTCAAAAGCTTTGTTAAAAGGCGCCTCTTTCCCAAAGTAAATAGATAACTATTCTATTTGTCAATATTTCACACTGCTAAGCTGTACCGTTGGACACTCTCTCTCCGTTGGACACACACTCTCTCTCTCTCTCTCTCTCTCTCTCTCTCTCTCTCTCTCTCTCTCTCTCTCTCTCTCTCTCTCTCTCTCTCTCTCTCTCTCTCTCTCTCTCTCTCTCTCGTACCAACATTCTTTTAAATTTCATATATCCAGACAGGAGGAACATTTTTATGTGAAGTAAACATATTTAAATTTTGCAATATAATTATTTTATTATACACAAATTAACAATGATACTAATAACAATAGAAATTAACATTAACAATATTACCTTAGGGTTGATATCAAATGTAAAATTCATACTACTAATGTTATAATGGAGAATGATTGATAATATTAACCCTTAACATAATGATCTTAATTAAAATGATTAACTGTCTGATTTCAGTTCTAATACCCATCGATAATAGTTATCATTTGCTAAATACTTATAGTATCACTTTAGTGCTAAACATTAAAATAGTTAATTTAAAGAAAAATAATGGTATTAAATGCTAAACATTAAGTTAAAGTATAATTATTAACTGTAATAGTTTCAATTCAGTGGTAAACAGTCTTCAGTAATATTTGTCGTTATTTAAAATGTCAATAATTTTATCTCATTATTGATTTAAAAAGTAAACAACATGATCTCAATAATGCCTGAAACAAACATTAGTACTCTTCACAAGAGAGGCAAATTGTTTGTTTGTTTTTTTTGTTTACGAATCATCACTGAAAAGGCTGGTTCTTGTTCTCGATCACGACCTTCATGTATCATTAATTGTTCACCATTGTTCTTCTGTATCACTGAGGCAGCGGGTGTTCACCATCACTAAGGTAGTTGTTGCTCACCATCACTACAGGCCCCTGTCAGATGTTTTTATTATTTTAGTATTGTTATTTAGATATAGTGTTAATCAGTGAACTACCTTCTCTGGAAGCGAGTCTCTCCAAAGCTAACATTGTTCATGATGTGAATTGTTGACATCGACAGTTGATAGCGATTGGTGAGTTAATATTCACCAAGATCTTATGTTCTTTCAAGTGTTATATTTTGTTTTCAAGATTTGTGTACATATGTTAATGTGAATAACGATGATGGTAAAAATCTAATGGAAACATGTGTTGTGCGCAATATTTCTGATGTATATGGTTGTGCTGGCCGAGGATATTGTTACCACCGATCGAGGTGAGGCTTCTAATAATGTTAGCGAGGCAGAGAACATATCTACAAGGATTCGAACCTACGTCCGGGAGTGTTACGACCCTGGGTTCTCCAGTGGAAACCAGAGGTCAAAATTGAGCTATTAAACTTCCTAAGTAGTACAGTTGGCGCATTTCGAATGGAAATTGTTTGTATCTTCCCTGCCAGACGTAAGACTATTATTGTTTCTCAAAGAGCATTTAAAGACTGAGCTGGGGGTTGATTATTAAATAATAACATAGGCACCAACTTTGCTTACTAATACTTTCTAATCATTCATAAAGTAACAATACGTTGCATAGGGGAAGATCTTTAATGTGCTTAGCTGCACGATCAATTAGGCTCCTTCCGGCACCACGACATGAGGGAGGCCAGGTGGTCGCGAGGAGCTCGGTCTTCTCTTGGCTGGTGGCGTGAGGTTAAGACCTACTCTGTGGCTGTATCCCTACTCTCCTTCCTTCTCCTCTTACTTATTTCCCTTACCTGAAGTTCCTGTACCCTTAAGTTAAGTATTATATGGTGTAAGTGTGCCTACTCTGGTAGTAACTATTGGTGAGACCTGGGGTTAGTATTTGCCAGTGTTTTGTTTACCCTAAGTGTTCGTGTTTTGTATTAGGGTCCCACGTGGTCTCACTACCCTAAGCTGCATCCAGCTTCAGGGCTTATCCAGTAGTACTTTACCCTAGCTTGTTATTAGTGTAAACCTTGTATCCTGCCTATGTGGACCAAGGCTTTTAACGTAAGATAGTGTGGTAAAGTTATTATTATTATTGTTATTGGTGTGAGTGTATATGGGGGGTTGTTAACGGGTTAATAAATAAGTACATGAATTACAGAGTATCTCTTCTTCCAAGGTGGGAGCGCAGTGATCAACCCTTAGACTAACATATTTGGTCTTGTAGCAAGTTATTACTACTGTGGATAGTTTATTTTGGGGGCCGGGCCTTTTAGCTCTCCCATATTTGATACTCCTGTCTTCTAACTACCTATACCCCTTAATAGTACCAGTACCCCATAGAGTCCCACTCATATCAGTTGTAACAAGTGGTTGGCCAGTCCGGGAGGAACATTATAAGTGTAAAAAATTAGATTCTTGAGTGCCAAAATTAAAATTTTTTATTTCCGCAGAACGGTTGTGTGCTAGCCTAGGGTCCAGCTCATCTAGCAAAGGACATTCTTGCACTGACTGGACACCCAGCTGGATCCCTTCACGATTAAGGTTAGTGTGGCCTTGTGTTAGGGGCCGTGCAAATTTTTGTTTTTTTCCAATTTTTATTTTTTAATTTTTTCTTTGGCTGGGAGCTAAAATTATTAGTGATGTCTTCTGAAATGCAGAAACTGGCAAGGGAGCCTTCAGTGGTAGAGATAAAGAAACTTAAAAAGTCTAATTTAGTATTGTTAGGCCAGGAATTTGGCCTAGAATTAAATGTCGCAGATAAAAAGTGGACTTTGGTGAATGAAATATTACAACATTGTATTGATGAACAACTATTGGCAAGTGATACACCTTTATGCCAGCCTAGCCAAGCAGAAAGTGCAACTCATAGGGAAAGTGAATTAGCTTTAGAGTTAGCAAAAATAAAATTAGAGGAGCAAAAACTCAAAACCGAGGAGGCTAGAATTAGAGCGAATGCCACTGGACCTCCACCTGCCGGGGATTCAAACCCCAGGCATTATGAGAAAAAGCATAATTTGCCTGAATTTTCCGAGTCTGACCCTGAAAGGTTTTTCAACCATTTTCAGAGAGTGGCCACGTCCATGAACTGGCCAAAGGAAGAGTGGGTAAAAATCCTACAGGGAAGACTTAGGGGTAAAGCACAAGATATTTTTATAAACATGCCTGACGACGAGTGTTTCGAATATGATAAAGTCAGGGAATGTATTTTGCGGGCATATGAAATTACTCCTGAAGCTCACCGCCAAGTTTATCGTAACTTTAGGCCTACTCACAACCAACCGCTCACTGAATTTGTGAATGATCAAATTCGATTGTTTGATAGATGGATTCGCTCGGCGAAAGCCGAAACATACGAGGCTCTCAGGAACTTAATTTTAATGGAGCATTTTATAGATGTTATGCCAGAGAACGTATCACAATACATTAAAGGAAGGATAGAGTTAAATTCTAAAATAGGGGATTTGGCCAAGTTGGCAGAAAACTACCAATTGGCAGGCAAAAGGCCCAATAAAAATAATTATACCCCACAGAGTAGCAAACCTTATACCCACAGCCAGTCCAGACCAGCTCATTCTAACCCTTTACCTAATGCACCTTCTGTTTCAGACATAACTAACCCTGTTAAAGTGTCTAGCCCAACGGCACCTAAAGGTGAACCGAAGGGTAATTCTGTTAGTAATGTCTCTTCTCCCCGACGTTTTTGTGGTCACTGTAATCGTTCAAACCACAATATTAGCCGTTGTTGGCAACTGTACCCAGAAAAAAGACCCAATGCTCTAGTTGTGACACAGGGCTTGAGGCCTTCGGAAGGGTTAGGGAGTAAGACCTCCAACCCACAGTGGTTGGACTTGCTTACCCCATTCTTATCGAAAGGGAGACTACTTTTGTCTGAGGGTCCTTCCTGGAAGGACGTGGTGATCTTCCGAGACACCGGTGCCATCCAGACTTTAATTTTAGAGAGTGCATTGCAAGGTGCCAACACTCTCGACACTGGAGAGGTGGTACTGGTCGAGGGTGTCACTAGTGATACTCGGGCAGTACCCCTCCATAAGGTTACCCTGGAATCTGATTTCCACAAGGGTGTTTGTACAGTCGGAGTCACTCCATACCTACCTTTCCCTAATGTTGATGTAATAGTTGGTAATGATTTAGCAGGGGATAAGGTAGGGGACTCCAGACTGCCTATTATGTTGCCTACCCCTAAGGTTTGCCTGGATCCACCCGCCGCAGAGGATAATGTTCTGTACCCTGCGTGCGCGGTGACCAGGTCTATGGGACTTAAATGTAAGGGCAGCCCTGTGCTTGCCAAGGTGGTAAATCCCGAGGTCACGAGGAGCTTTCCGAGTGGTGAAAACCAAGTGGACCTCGCGGACACATTCATGGCCCGACTCGATGACGTGGCCGAGGACATTGTGGAGAGCCTGCCACCGCCATCTACCGAGAGTAGTGGGGAGGTGGAGAACACTGTTGAGCCTCGGCCAATGGCATCTGACCAAGGCCTAGATGCCTCCTTGAGTGAGTTACAGAAAGCTGACCCCACTCTTGCAGATTGTCATGAAACAGCCGTCTCTATGGAGGAAATTGTAGACGCAGCAACTGGGTACTACTACAATGATCGGATTTTGATGAGAAAATGGAGACCACAGAGTGCTCCCTTGTCAAATGAGTGGGAGGTAGTCCACCAGGTTATGTTGCCGACCTGCTATAGAGAAAGAGTTTTGGCAGCTGCTCATGATGATCCTATGGGGGGACATCAAGGTATTAATATTACGTATCACAAAATTTTAAAGTATTTTTTCTGGCCCAAGCTGAAAAGCGACGTGGCAAAATTTTGTAATGCGTGTATTGTTTGTCAACTGGTTGGGAAACCAAACCAGACTCCACCTAAAGCTCCTCTAAGGCCTATTGTCGTGCCAGAGGAACCATTTTCTCATGTGGTAATGGACTGTGTTGGACCATTACCTAGAACTAAGTCTGGTAATATTTACCTAATCACGATGATGTGTATCACTACTCGTTACCCAGAGGCTTTTGCTGTAAGGAACATCCGAGCAAAAACTGTTGTTGCTCGTATGTTGCAATTTTTTTCCACTTTTGGACTGCCTCGGGTCGTGCAAACTGACAATGGTACTAATTTTAAGTCTGATGTTTTCGAGCAATTTTGTAAGGAACATGGAATAACTCATAAGGTTTCCAGCCCATACCATCCACAGAGTCAGGGGGTAATTGAACGTTTCCATCTAACTCTGAAGCAGATGTTGAAGACATCGTGCGAGAGTTCCCACACCTTCTGGGATGAGAATTTACCGTATGTTTTGTTTGCGGCTAGAGAGGGATTACAAAGTTCACTGGGCTGTTCTCCTTTTGAGTTAGTCTTTGGCCATAAAGTTCGTGGACCCTTGCAAATGTTACAGGAGAATCTGTTAGGGAACGTAACGTTATCCGAAGGTTCGGCTTTCTTTGCGCAACACCACCAGAGACTCAAGGACTGCAAGGCGGCTGCATTAAAGTATCTTGGCAAGGCCCAAGAAAAGATGAAAGAACGTAACGATGCTAAATCTAAGTTACGGGTATTTCAGCCTGGCGACCCTGTCCTGGTATTAAAGCCTCGACTAGGGAACACTATGTCCCACAAGTACGAAGGCCCCTACATTGTGACAGAAAAGACTGGGGACCTCACGTACAAAGTGAGGCACTCTGACAAACGTAACCAGGTAATGCTCATACATGTAAATCGACTGAAGAAGTTCCAGGGCCCCAGGCCCATTGCACTAACCAATGTTTCCATTTCCAGTGAGAGAGGGGATGATTGTTCTGGGGACCCAACTAATCTCATTTTCAATAATTCTAGTTCTGTGAATGCTGTGGAGGAACTGTCCCATTTGCAGATGGCCCAACGTGAAGAGGTGCAGTCGTTGGTTGATGAATTCTCCAGTCTGTTCGGGGAGGTCCCGACCCAGACTGATGCCATTTGCCATGATGTCGAGTTGACGGACTACACTCCCATTCGCCTTCAACCCTATCGGATGAGTCCAGAAAAGAAGGCCATCGTACGGAAGGAGGTCGACTTCTTGCTCCAGCACGGCCTCATCCGGCCGAGCCAGGGCTCTTGGTGCTCGCCCTGCCTTTTGGTCCCCAAACCAGACGGCTCCTGGCGATTATGCACCGACTATCGGCAGCTCAACAAGGTGACCATTGTGGATGCCTATCCGCTGCCCCTCCTCGAGGATTGCATCGACGAGTTGGGAAATGCCAAGTACGTTTCGAAATTCGACCTCTCGAGGGGGTATTATCAAATCCCACTCACTGAACGTGCTAAACAGCTCACTGCGTTCGTGACACCCGAGGGTGTTTTTGAGTATCAAGTGTTACCGTTCGGCTTGCGTAATGCTCCTGCCACGTTCCAGAGACTCATGAACTCTCTACTCGCTAAGGTGCCAAATTGTCGGGCGTATTTAGATGATATCGTGCTGTTCGACAGTAATTGGGCTGACCACATAGCTAGGTTACGCCAGTTGTTTGCCATCTTGAAAAGGGCAAATCTTACCTTAAATGCTAAAAAGTGTCATTTTGGCCAAGGCACAGTGACGTACCTCGGTTATGAAGTGGGCCAAGGAAAAGTGTTACCTCGGCAAGATAAAATCAATGCCATTCTGGAGTATCCAGTACTAAAATCTAAAAAGGACGTTCAAAGATTTATCGGTATGTGTGCGTACTATCGACGTTTTTGTCAGAACTTTTCCAGTGTTGCCACTCCTCTCACAGACTTGTTGCGGAAAGCCGTTAAATTTAAGTGGTCATCAGACTGTGCAGAGGCATTTAAAAATTTGAAATTGATCTTAGCTTCCGCCCCAGTGCTTGCTAGTCCAAGGTTCGACCGACCGTTTAAAATTCATGTTGACGCGTCTGACTCGGGTGCTGGTGCAGTGTTGTTGCAAACTGGGGATGATCAGGTGGAACACCCAGTATATTATTACTCTGTGAAATTCGACAAGGCGCAACGCAATTATTCAGTGGTAGAAAAAGAGGCGTTGGCGCTAGTGTTAACATGTAAAAAGTTCGAAGTTTACCTCACAGGTAATATAGTGGAAGTGTACACGGACCATAACCCACTAGTCTTCCTGACTCAGATGAAGGGTAAGAATAAACGCATCCTCAGGTGGGCGTTGTACCTACAGGACTTCAATCTTTCCATTACCCACCTACCGGGCAGACTCAACGTGATAGCCGACGCTCTGTCCCGGTTGCCTGAATAACATTCATCTGAGCCACAGAAAGCCATTTACCAACTGTCATGCTTTAGTTTTTTTTAGGTTCTCCTGTGACATTAAATATTCCGTGTCCAATTTATTTACTTCCCTGTTCTTTTATTTTTTTGTGTATGTTTTTTTTTTTTCTTTCAGAGAACTCCTTTGTATTTTTTTTTTGCAGAGAAATTGCTTTTGATTGATTTTTTGTTTTTGTCATGTTTTTCTTTTTGTTCTCTGTATACTCTTACAAAAAAAAATATGACTACTATTCTAGTGGTCACATTTTTTTTTTTCTCTGAAGGGGGGAGGAGTGTTACGACCCTGGGTTCTCCAGTGGAAACCAGAGGTCAAAATTGAGCTATTAAACTTCCTAAGTAGTACAGTTGGCGCATTTCGAATGGAAATTGTTTGTATCTTCCCTGCCAGACGTAAGACTATTATTGTTTCTCAAAGAGCATTTAAAGACTGAGCTGGGGGTTGATTATTAAATAATAACATAGGCACCAACTTTGCTTACTAATACTTTCTAATCATTCATAAAGTAACAATACGTTGCATAGGGGAAGATCTTTAATGTGCTTAGCTGCACGATCAATTAGGCTCCTTCCGGCACCACGACATGAGGGAGGCCAGGTGGTCGCGAGGAGCTCGGTCTTCTCTTGGCTGGTGGCGTGAGGTTAAGACCTACTCTGTGGCTGTATCCCTACTCTCCTTCCTTCTCCTCTTACTTATTTCCCTTACCTGAAGTTCCTGTACCCTTAAGTTAAGTATTATATGGTGTAAGTGTGCCTACTCTGGTAGTAACTATTGGTGAGACCTGGGGTTAGTATTTGCCAGTGTTTTGTTTACCCTAAGTGTTCGTGTTTTGTATTAGGGTCCCACGTGGTCTCACTACCCTAAGCTGCATCCAGCTTCAGGGCTTATCCAGTAGTACTTTACCCTAGCTTGTTATTAGTGTAAACCTTGTATCCTGCCTATGTGGACCAAGGCTTTTAACGTAAGATAGTGTGGTAAAGTTATTATTATTATTGTTATTGGTGTGAGTGTATATGGGGGGTTGTTAACGGGTTAATAAATAAGTACATGAATTACAGAGTATCTCTTCTTCCAAGGTGGGAGCGCAGTGATCAACCCTTAGACTAACATATTTGGTCTTGTAGCAAGTTATTACTACTGTGGATAGTTTATTTTGGGGGCCGGGCCTTTTAGCTCTCCCATATTTGATACTCCTGTCTTCTAACTACCTATACCCCTTAATAGTACCAGTACCCCATAGAGTCCCACTCATATCAGTTGTAACAGGGAGCATCCCAGACGCTGCCTTAATCGACTGAGCTACAACGTGGGGTTACGAGGAAGAAGTTCCTCGCTGTCCTTACGGTACCTGGGGTTTCGAGAGTCGGTAGTGGTGTAGCAGGACCAGTCCTCCACACACTCATGATCCACTAACACGTAGCAAGGACGGCATTGGCGGATGGCGTTACTTGAGACTAGCAGCATCCCCCACCGCGGCAGACCCACCAGCAGGAGGGCCGTCAGGAGAGCGAGCCATCTCCACCAAGCCCAGGTCCTTCCAGCCATAGATCAGCGCCCGCTGGAAGTTTCGGCGGGGAAGCTTGTTGAAGCCTTTGCAAGATCCAGTCAGAGACTGACTTTAAAACCAGCGCCCGGGTCCAGGCGACTAGTAAAACAGGAGGAGCTTCTCACCGGCCTGAAGATAGCAACACCCCATTGACAATACAAGGAAAATTATCCTACTCGCTGCTTCCATGTTGTCAATTATATATCAGCTTAGTACTGCCTCTCACAGCTCTCCTCGCTATGCGTTCACATCAAAAGTGCAAGAGCAAACTTTGCCTCATTAGTGCAATGTCGATTAGTTAAGATTATACAGGTAATAATTCAAGTAGTAACTCCATAACTAGCATCAGGTGTGGAGGGGGAACTCCCGCCGGAAGCCCGAGGAGGCGGTCGTGCGTCAGAGGCCGCCAGGCTGGTCAGGGTCGCTGCCAGTCATTGTGCTTCCGTGTGGCAGTCATGGTACTGACGTCATGGTTGTTCCCTGCAGGAGTATATAGTTGTTTCATAGTTCCTGGACAGAATCCGGCACCGTCTCCCACGTCCATTGGAAAACAATGCTCAATCCACAACTTTTTATGCCAGATTTTACCTAAATCTAAAACAATAGCAACCAAGTTGCATTATATTTCCTTTATATTGAGCCACTTTGCTTCATTTTATATGAGGTATGGGATAAATAGGAGATAGCAGATGAGGCTATATATAAAAGCAGACGACCTCTGTAATCTCATCCTCCCACATCACTTTCTAAGGTCACAGCTAAGTGCCTGAATTGACCTATAAACTCGTTCATCTGAGATCACCTAGTCATACTAGATCAGACCTGAGTGCCTAAACTGACCTGTACATCTAAGTCACACTTCGATTAGCGATCACAAATGAGCTTTCACTGTTACGAGTGAGGTTGACTCACGTGAGTAATGGGTAAGATGGATGTGTATGTGTGTGTGTGTGTGTATGTGTGTGTGTGTGTGTGTACAGTCCATCCTCCTAAATTGAAGGTACTTACAGTAACGACGCGGACAGTCTTACAAATACGGACGTGATGGACCAATTGGAGGTAGACTTTTGTTTTACTGAATTTGGAAAGTTTTTCTAGTTATGTTGCTAATGGAACCCAACGTAACCATCCTAATACATGCTATCTGAGGCCTAATATAGTACATTTTTTTCTAATATTAATAGTATACTAATATAGTATATTTTCAATATTAATAAACTGAAGAAACCTTATTTCATACATTTGTAAATGAATAATTGGCGTGTTTTCGTGAGATTTCTGAGCATAAGACACATAGCAGTGAATTCATCAGAAGGACTCGCAGCATTTAATTCGAAAAGTTTAAATGACGAGTTTTAACGAGCCCAGTTCAGACATCTAAGATAAACGGCAAGTTTAAGGGACAGAGATTTAAAAAAGGTGATTAAGTGACGAAGATTTTAAAAAGTATTTGAATGGAAGGAGTTCACTGGATGATTCCAGATGACGGTTTATATAAGCCACGCCCATGATGCTCATAGGAATTATATGTACGGTTAACTGGTCGATTTAAAACATTACTAAGAAAACTATATGAGCAATGTGTGACGGTAAAGAAACAGAGTACATGTGGGTTACATTACTCAGCCTAGCACCTCGCTACTGTACCCACTGATGTGAACTCCGTCGTTTTAATGACATTATTAAGGTATTTAATTAATTCTATTAAGGTACTCAGTGGTATCAATATGGTATTTCATCTTAATTGTATCATTAAGGTATTTCATTAATTCCATTAAGGTACTTAATAGTATCAGTTTGGTATTTCATCTTAATTGTATCAGTTACGGATATTCCTTATATTTTACATTACTTTGCCTTATAGTATTACAATTTAATAACAAACAATCCCAATTCTGTTTCGCTCGTTCTGGGAAATATTAATTAAATAATGATTTCATTAACATAATAATACATACCTGTGATATTCGCCATATTCTAGACATAATTAGCTCTCCCAAAGGGAAAAAACTTGTCAAACTGCAAGATGTTAATTTTAATTAGAGCAAAACATTGGCCTGTAATTGTTAATTACGGCCTGTTATATGTACACGGATAATATATTGTATTGGGGGGATCTTGGCGGGAGTGGAGGGGGGGGGAGACTTTATCCACATTATATAATCTTTAATATAGAATATAGAAGCAGCACATTGCTGTGTATTCCTAAGCTTGTTAATAAAAAAAACGTGGTCGCTCTTCGATACATAAGGTTCCTCTAAGCTTTATAAATATTCCTGTGGCTTATTTTACTTCTTATGTTATAACTTACATACTGTTTTACCTGTTGCACTCAGTAGTATAACTTAGTTTAAATGACGAGTTTAAATGACTAGTTCCCCACGAAGGCTAATTGCAGTTATGCATTATCATTTATAATGCCATTTATTGTAAACATTTATAATTTATTTATTATCTACTTCATTTATGCCATTTATTGTAAGCCTTATAAATGACTTATGCTATTACTTACTGACCCTGCCCAGGATGCAACCCCATAACAAGCTGATTAACTCCTAGATACCTAATTACTGAAAGGTGAACAGGGTCATGAAGTGATAGGAAACGCGCCCAACTATTTCTGTCCCGCCCAGCATTGGAACATGGAATTTTAGATTGTGAGTACAGAACGAATGCGACTGTACCACCGGGACCCTAGTTTGGGAGCTTAATTCATGCTCTTCTCTGGAGACAGTTTTTTTTTAGTTCTTTTGGCCCGGGTGAGAGTTGTGTGCTACTGTGTCTTTTCAGTGTTTAGGGTAAATTTTATAATGTTAATCACATATATAGGGTGTTTTAGTTCAATGTATACTGTGTAGCTTAAGATATATACATTCGAAATTTACAAGGTGCAAGGTGTGTTGTCAACAAATAGGTCTGACTTGAGGCATTTAGTAATTCACTGATGTATATATAAGAAAGAAGAATAGGGTAAGAATATTGCCCAGGGAAAACACCTGTATTAATTGGCAATGATGGATAATAATAATAATAATAATAATAATAATAATAATAATAATATAATACTCATTTTTATTTATTTATTTATTTATTTATTTATTTATTTATGCATATACAAGAATGTACATAAGGAATGTGAGGATACAATTATGGTAATTACAGTCTTGTAAAGCCACTAGCACGCGCAGCGTTTCGGGCAGGTCCTTAATCTAAGAAAATTTTAAGGAGGTAAATACTTGCAAAATTTATAGACAAAAAAATGATAACAGATTACATGGAATGAAAAAAAAAAAAGATGAGAGAAAATTATAGGTACAGTATATTAAAGCACATAGGTAGCTATGATTGATTGCAATGACAGCTTAAAATGGTAGTTGACAACAAATTGGTAGGCACAATACAGCAGAAACAATATAAGATTGATTGCAATGACAGCTTGAATGGTAGTTGACAAAAATTGGTAGTCACAATACAGCATATGGCTAGCACATAAAAGAAGACAGCAATGAACACAATGATAAGGTTGTTTGATATTACATAAAAATTAGGAGATTGGGTACCACTAGGTACAGAGCAAATTTAAAGCTCAGTGTAGGAAACTAAATAGATGAAGTTAGGTACTTTTTGGTTTTACTTTTAAATAAGGCAAAAGTTTTACAGTTTTTCAATTCACTAGGGAGTGAGTTCCATAGACTAGGTCCCTTAATTTGCATAGAGTGTTTACACAGATTAAGTTTGACCCTGGGGATATCAAAGAGATATTTATTTCTGGTGTGGTGATAATGGGTCCTATTACATCTGTCCAGGGAGAGTTTCAGAGCATGGTTTGCATTTAAGAACAGGGTTTTGTAAATGTAGTTGACACAAGAGAATGTGTGGAGGGAGTTAATATTTAGCAAGTTTAGAGATTTAAACAAGGGAGCTGAGTGTTGTCTGAATGCAGAGTTAGTTATTATTCTGATAGCAGAATTATTCGTTCAAACAAATTGTGTACAGAGTATGTCACATAGTTTATATCAACAAAACATTTAACAAGGCCACTAATGACTGGCAGTGTTTCAGGCAAACCTTAAAATTAACATTTGGTTTAGATGAAACTTGGGCATTCCACAAAAATATATTAAGATATATAAATTAATTAATTAGCAATTAATCTAATGTTTAACAGTATCCTAGGCTGATACTTGATGATAAAGAGTGTACATTATATAGGTTATAGCTTTGGTGGTTAATATTGATATGGTAAGTTATATGTATAACAGTTGTTACAGTTATCTCCTGCATAGCACTACATTCGACCTGTTCCTTACCACCTACATATCAACATGCTCCAACATCAAGACTCAAGATCAACAACAACAACAATACGTGCTCAAATTTATTTATTTTATTTATTTATATTTATACAAGAAGTTACTTTGGGTCAGTGAGAGTACATAGCATGATGTGTTTACATTCTTGTAAAGCCACTAGTACGCACAGCGTTTCGGGCAGGTCCTTAATCTAACAGATAATATTAAGTAGGCAATTTCTAGCAAAATTTATAATGTTAATGTATTGTTGTTGTTCACTCCACCCTACCTTCCACGAGAGCCTGTACCTGCCGTCTCACCAGACGCCAGGCAAACTAATCAGGACGGTCGTTATCCTGTCGGTTCCTCATCATTCAGCCCCAGAATTAATGCCAGTCTGATGTCCCCACCCATATATAAGGGCTTGCTAGTGTCCAGCACAGCAGATTACCCTTCTAGTGCTCATTGCTTCCGCATCTATTCTCGCCTACAGACCCTTGTTATTAACGTAAAATTCAGTGTATATTTCTCTTTTGATTGAGTTTAAGCCAAGTGAATAAGGGGTTTTGTTTTCATTAATTATTACTTATCATTTTGTGTAAAATTAAAGTCATTTTTGTTATGTTAAATATTTAAAGTTTTTATTCTCATGTTTTTTGCCAACAATTGACACACCGTAAAAGGACCAAGCAGTTTTATTTTAATTTATTTTCTCTTTGTTTTTTATTAATGTGAGATTGGCGAAACACCTGCCAGAATAGTTACTGCTCTATTCCAGATCTCGTCACACAGTAGTATACAAAGTTATATGTATATCAGTAGTATACAGACAATACATAAAATATATATTTACCTGAGGGTCACTGTCTCTCGAGTGGCCTCAAGGAGGACAGGAAGCCAGCAACATATAAAAAGGTCCCCCAAATTTGTCCAGATGATTTTATCTATTTTGATCTTTAATTGCAGCAGTGTTGTCAGTCACAGTTTTGTCAGATAGGCAATTCATAGGTTTATAACCCTATGGGTAAAAAAGCATCACCTGTTTTCTGTCCTACATTGTGGCTAGGTTCAGCATGAATCTGTTGCTTCTTGTTCCTGTTACAAGCTACCTTTTGAATATGCGGTCAGGATCAGTATCCCCCAAATTGTTCACTACTTATTAAAATTTTAATAAAATCAGCCCTGTCATGTCTGATTTGCAGTGTTGGTAGCCCGGAGGTTCTCAACCGTTCCTGGTATGGAAGTAGACTTGGTTCAGAAATTGTATTTCCCGGTGTTGAATTTTCTTCAAAACATACATGTCTTTCAGAAGATGAGATCTACATGCTTGGATACAATAATTCAAGTGGGAGGTGCACCAGTGATTTATACAGTTAAACCTTCTTTTCCCTTAAATCAAAGTTACTTTTGACTATTCCTAAGATTTGGTTGGCTCTTTCTTTTTTTTCTTTTTATTTTTTATACTGCAGCTCCCAATTATTATGCAACTTTCAGCAATTGATGGATTCAGACAAATATACACATAATTAACTTATTAAAGAGAAACTGATGAAAATTATGATGTAGAGCAGTTGATATATAGGCTTATTCAAACTACAGTACATAATATTAAACATAGAATTAATACAGCACTTAATTTTTTTTAAATGGGTTAAAGATAGTACATGCAGTCCCCAATTAATGAACAGGACGAATTCTGAAAAGGCATTTGTAACTGAACCAGATATTCCATAAGCACAGTACTATAAATGGGGGGGATACATTTCTGAACTATTAAAAATGAATCTTACAAAATTCAAAATGTTAAGACAATAAGAAACACTGCACTGCTTGTCTGAATTTATGCTTTTTGAAGAGCAAAATGGTAAGATTACAGTACTGAAGGAAGAGACAGTAAAGTAAAAAATAAAAATAAACAAAATAAAAAGTCATAAGTAAAGGTAAAGAAGCAGGTAAACCAGGTAAACCTCGTTGATGATACATGAGAACCAGTGCAAACAAGCATACAAGTGTATGCAAACAAGCATACTTCCTCTTCTTATCAGCAATTATTGAAGAACTTGTCCTCAATAAACAACTGAACTATTGCATTAGCACTGTAATGCGGGGACTTCAGAATTGGTTCATATATAGCAGGACTAGGGGGGACTAAATTGGAAACTTGGAAGCTGTTCTTATGCTGGATATCCATAAATCAGAGACCCACTATGCAGCATTTCAATTCATTTGGAATCTCACAAATGCAGAGAGAATTATCTTTTATGTGGTATCTGTTGCACTCTTCAAAAAATGTTTTAGGTCAGAATTCATATTGAACTTCAGTTCTAATGTTATAGAATATATATGATAGTGTGTGTATTACTTTTCTATTTAGCATGTTCAGTGATTTAAATAAAGTATGCTGCATTTTGTTAGATTGGTGTGTTTGTTATTATTATAATGATTATATTTTTGGGTAAACTGCTTTCTTATACTGTATATCTCCAGCTTCTATTACTAGTGAAAGTGCATGCATAAATATAACTATGTATATAAACTTTACCTATCAGTTACACTTTATATTAGTATACTGTATATATTTTCCCATCTCATTTACTTCATGAACTTAAAAGTTCCTGCTGTTCACATAAGTATTGAGGTCGATCTCGAACCCATTGTTGATGTGACGACTTATATTGAATTTTGTAACTAGCTCATCAACATTGTAACTTGCTTAGCTAAATGAATTGTGGGGTTCAGTCCCTGAGCCCATTATGTGCCTCTGTAACCCTTTCCACTACCGCCCACAAGATGGGTATGGGGTGCATAATAAATGAACTAAACTAAACTAACATAAGTATGTGCCTTCAGACTGAACATAATCCACAAACAAAAACTATCTTAACAGGTTACATTTATATGTCAAATAATAATTTCTATTTAAACTTAACAATTACACTGGCTCTCATTTATTTATGAAACATCAAAAAGAACACCTTCTACAAAAACTTTGCAGTTGTAATAATATGCTGAGAATCAGGAGCAGACCCGAAGGGTTTGGTGCCATCTGCAGCCACCCACAGGTTAATCTGGTAGTCGTGGAGGACTTGGTATGACAACACGTCATCACACACTTGCTGTTAGAAATGTACAGAATAATTTAAAAATTAAGTAAAGACCTGACTTTTCAAATATGAGCCTGCAAAAGGGTTATATAAAGAATCCTAAATTACTGTAGACTTTGAATCTATAAAATGTTGTATTCCATTAACCAATTTGTAAAGAGAAACAAAGATGCACCTAAATGATATTACATTCCACTTGATTGACAGTCGAGAGGTGGGACTAAAGAACCAAAGCTCAACCCCTGCAAGCACAACTAGGTGAGTACATATTTACTTATATAGTTACCACACCTGCAGCATAAATCTCCTATAAGAGCCCTTATCTTAAATAAGCCAACTGTGTTTACAGTATTTTGGTGCTAAACATTACAGTAAATATACTCTAGTGACTATTCTCATTAATTAAAACCAATATTTACCATTAAAACTATAGACTGAAAATGCAGTCTACACTCTAACCTAGAAAACTATATGCAGTATATACTCTATTTAACAGGACTATACGGGGCAATGCCCTACTTCTGTATTTACTGTGGTTCGTTATTGTCGACTACAGTACATTGTCGGTAATACAGTAATGCTAGTCATCTTCAGGCAACTAAATTACTGTATTTCTTTATGCAAATGATATAAATTGTATATATATATATATATATATATATATATTATTACAAGTATTCTACTGTGCTATGCAGCAGAACATGGCATGTTTGATAGAAAAAAGTACAGTTTCCATGAAGTATTTACTGCTTGGTCAGCCTTCATTGCTAATAACTAATAACTTTTGATTTTGATTTTGAAGTAAATTGCTTGGTCAGGTGGGACCTGTGTGGTGTTCTTAGTACGCTCCTGATGCTCCTATACCAAAGCCCCTGCTATCATCTTCCACGAGTAAATATACTGTCTTTTTAATTGCTACTCATATATTTCCCTTCAGAAATTTTGCATTGTCTGGAAACATCTATATACAGGATCCACTTGCTTCAAGGACTTCTGGTTTACTGTTCTGCCAGTTATATCAACTGAATTTGATATTGTAATTGGAGCCATATTTATCAAGTAATACCCATTAAATCTGGAATACTGAATTGAGTTGACCGAGTGGCATGTGTTAAACTGGAAGCCACTACAGGTATTCAATTTATTGTGGGACAACTTGGCCCTCACTAGGCCAATGTGTTCCCACAACGTTGATTTAGGATGGTTCCAGCATTTCCCTGATGTGGCTGTAGAAGGGAAGGGGGAAATGGTTGGAGGGAGGGGAGAGGGGGGAAAAGGGCAAGGGTATGGTGAAGAAGGGCAAGGGGAAGGATGGAGGGAAGGGGAGGGTAAGGAGGACAGGATGAAGGGAGAACAAGGGTAGGATGGAGGGAGAACAAGGGTAGGATGGAGGGAGAACAAGGGTAGGATGGAGGAAGAACAAGGGTAGGAAGGGAGAGATTAGGGAGGAAGTGTGTGGAGAAGGATATCTATAAATTTCCTCAAATACAGTAGACCAGGTTACTGTTTTAATGGTGTTTCTGTAAGGCTGTTAGTTTAGCAGTCTAGTGGCTGCCCATCTACCTATCTTAATCTTCTTGCCTGCCTGCCCATCCACCGGCCCAAATGTCCACCAGCCAGCACTCCATCCATCCATTAAGCTCTCCTGCCTGCTAGCCATCTAGCCAAGCCACCCAAATAACTTATGGTCATTGGTTTTTAATCCAATCACATAGTCAAAGACCAGGATGATTATTGCCATCTCCTAGAGGTATTTCATGCTCCAAGTTCTCTATACTTTCCTTATTCTTTGTGTCATCTTTTACATGCTGTGTTAAGAAGTTTTTCTCCATAACTTCTACTAATTTTGGTCCCCACAAAATCAAACTAACTAATATAATCAATTGAAAAGAACATACTAAACCTAAAAATCACACTATTGTGATTTCTGGGTGTATAATAAACCTAGCTGTAACTGAATTGCAAACTAACACTTTTTTCCATCATACAGCAGCAAATTTATTTATTTATTTATTTATTTATTTATGCATATACAAGAATGTACATAAGGAATGTGAGGATACAAATATGGTAATTACAGTCTTGTAAAGCCACTAGCATGCGCAGCGTTTCGGGCAGGTTCGGGCAAATGTTTACTTACCTGTGTGAGAGGAGATGTATTTGTTGTAACAATTGCCTTGAACCCTTTCTTCGTTGCTAATTTCAAATTTTCTTCTTCCATGATCTGAAGAAAATTTAAAAGAAAATATTTAACACATTAATAACTCTCTGTTGGGTCAGTGATCGAGAGATTGAGTGTACTCACCTAGTTGTGCTTGCGGGGATTGAGCTGCAGCTCTTTGTTCCTGTCTCTCAACTTGTGTACAGGTGTGTGTAATTACCTAAGTGTAGTTACAGGATGAGAACTATGCTCGTGGTGTCCCGTCTTCCCAGCACTCTGTCATATAACGTTTTGAAACTATCGAAGGTTTCAAATCTATGACCTCTTGTTCTTGAAGTTCCAGGTCTCGTGAATTCTTCGCTATCAATTTTTTCAATTCACAGTACAATTTTGTACATAATGATCATATTGTCTCTTTTTCTTCTATCTTCAAGTTTTGTCATATTTAATGCCTGTAACCTCTCCTCATAGCTCTTGTCCTTCAGTTCCGAGAGTCATTTAGATGCATGTCTTTGCATTTTTTCCAGTTTGTGTGTATATAAAGGTGTTCAAGATCTTTGAATGTATGAGAGAGAGAGAGAGAGTGTGTGTATGTGATCATACATGTGTGCCCTACATATAAATATATAATTCTTATTTTAACTACAGTATACTGTACTATAAAATATATGAAGATATTTCATCTTATTAACATAAACACGTACCTTGATAAGTTCCACATTTTCCGCTGGCCCAAGTTCCAGTAATGTCCCCATCATAAAGCCGTGCAGAACTGTTCCAATTTCCTCTGGTAATTTAGTCCTGTAAATATTTATCTTTTAAAATATTATTTTTTCTTAAATTAAATCATACAAATAAAGGGAGAACATAACAAAAACATGTGGGATAAAGGGAGAACATAACAAAAACACTGAACATTGAATATAATGCCCCTGTGTGGATCATTATTACAAATAGGGTTGGTCATTTTAGGGCCAACTCTATTTGTAATATACTTTACATCAATAACATATAAAAACATATAACAGAACTTGAACAAAATCACAAACCACATCAGATTTGTAGATGACATAAAGATCTACAAGAATCATCAGTCATTGAAAGCTTCTCGGCAAGAAAGAGCTGCAGTAAAAAATCATCTCGGAACTACGCCAATTCTGCTGCTAGAAAAGGTGGAAGGACTCGAAACTAACTCTACAACCCACACATGATTGGGTTCATCTCATCAAACTCTTTAAAATACTGAACAAAATGGAAAATATTAATCCAAACCACTTCTTTAAAAGTCCAATATAATTTACACACTGGGTAACAGATTCGAGCTCAACAAGCCACAATGTCGAGCAGAAAACGGATGCTTTTTCACCCCCTAGGATAATAAACCCATGGAATCACCTACCTGCCAAAGCCATAAATGCCCAAACAGAACAATCCTGTTCAAAATTCAACAGAAAAAATCCTCATGAATAATGGTAGGACCTTTGACAAGTTGCCAGCTACCTGTCAATCATTAATATTTAAAACATTTGGAAGTACTGTATTGTATATTCCAGAATTGGAAAGGAAAAGAAAATTGCTATGTGCAAGAGTAATGTTATATATTAATCAATATACCTGTATGTATATACAAAACATGTTTTCTGTATCAAAAATACAAAATTAAAGATATCAAATTTAAAGACAATATTAGTAATGAGTGGCCTTTTCCAAAGGGGCCACTAAGTAGCTCACTATCGCTGGCTTTAACACTTGCAGCTTCCAAGTCTTAGGGAATCACACCAGACCTTTCAGACCCACTTGAGCCTACTGGTGGCCAGGACCAGAATCTAGCTTTACAAGGTGAGGGGGGGGGGGGGGGAGTTTGGGAACAAGACCAACCCAAAATTGAGAGAAAAAAGGCACAAGCACACCAAAATAAACAACTGTTGGTAAGAGGTGTACTGATATACCCTAACTCCAATATGCCCGAAATGCTGTACATATTAGCGGCTTTACGGGAATGTAAACTCATCATGATATGTAAATATAAATATATATGTTGTAACTCTGCATCTATGTATGTACTTTTCCTAAATAAAATATTATTATTAATATTATTATTATTATTATTATTATTATTATTATTATTATTATTATTATTATTATTATATATAAAAACTTTTTTTTTTACTACATATTTTTGTAGAACTTTCTAATTTATTTATTATCACTTTTACAAAGAGTTTATCATTTCTCACCTTGCTGGTGTTTCACAGACGTCCAGGATGGTAAGTATATATTCAAGATTATGCGACAGCCCCTCCATTGGCGGCTCATCACGGAAATCAAGGTTTAAAGCACAGCCAACGACCTCATCCGAGCCTCGTCTTGTTAATACAAAGCTGTTGCAAAAAAATTGTAGATTTTGGACTTTAACTACAATTATAGAATAATAAAATAAATACAGTACATGATAGTTATATTTTGCATATGTTATTTAAGTAACAAATACCTTGTTTACACAGCTGTAAAATCTTAAAATTATAGATCACTTTTATTAGCATTATTAAGTACTGTAATATCATTACTAAAGTATTTTCATATTTTTATTTGTGTTTATCTAAGTTTTTAAACCTTCACTGTCACAAAATATGGCTTAATTTAAAATTATATTTCTTTTGTCAGTACTGTGCAGGTAAACTGTTATATCCAGATGCATTATGAAGGGCTAACTAGGTACACTTTTACACTTATTACACATAGGCACAGATTTTGTATTTACAGTTCACCTACCTTAACGCCGGCACTGTGGACTGTTACACGTGACAACTCTGTGGTGCGCACGAAAAAAATAAATCTTTATAATAGTTAAAATGCATTCCAAGATCATGGGGAGGGGAAAATATGGACCTTAATTTGGCTGTGGTGGAGAGTGGAAATCTTGTGATGAGTTCACAGTTCACAGGTTTTACGAATGAGATGCCCTGTGGAGTTCGCTCCAGGAGCGTGAATTACCGCAAATATATTTATACCAATTTACTTTAGTGTCACCGAATTTTTTCACTTGTTTTTTGCAGTTATATTATGCAATAATGTGGAATTTGATAAATTTCCATAATAAAACATGCAGAATATAAATACACATAAATATATTCGTGTCACTGATATACATGTAATGTTATATGAACAATAAAACGTGCTGTTTTTGCCATTTTCACACAGTATGTGATAACAGAAGTTAAGTATTCCAGTATAATGGTAGACTGCATCTTTCTAGAGTACCAAAAAAAAATTGATTAAATTCCCATCAAAAATTTTTATTTTCAAGATGAAGAGAAATCCAGTCTCTGTGGTGTAGTAGTTAAGACGCTCGCCTGGTGTTCCGCGAACGCTTTGTCATGGGTTCGTATCCTGGCCGGGGAGGATTTACTGGGCGCAAATCCTTAACTGTAGCCTCTGTTTAACTCAGCAGTAAAATGGGTACTTGGTTGTAAAAACGATTCTTCATGGGGGTCGTATTCCAGGGACCATAGGATTAAGGACTTGCCCGAAACACTATGCGTACTAGTGGCTGTACAAGAATGTAACAACTTTTGTATATATCTCAAAAAAAGAGGAGATAACAGGAAAGGCACTGGATTGGGGGAGTATTTGATAGACAGGAAACAAGGGGTCAAAGTTAGAGGATATCAAGATAATCAGGAATGGAAGGGGGTGCTCTACATTGACCTGTCCTAGGACCATTACTTTGGTTAATTTATGTAAATGACCTTGCAAACGTCACGCTTCAGGTGTGGGCAGATAAATAGCTGCTGGAATTCAATCCAAATAAATGTAAAGTAATAAAAATGAGTAAAGGAGATAGGAGACTTTTTAACTGCACCATAAGGGGATAGCAATTACAAGAAACAGCAAGAGAAAAAGACCTGAGAGTAGACATCCTAACATTACCACCAGAAGCTGATGTGAACTGGATAACATCAGCAACATATGAGAAGTTAGTATACACAAGAAAATCAGTTAAGACTTTAAACAAGAAGGCGTTCAAATCCATACACATTGCCTATATGAGACTATTACTTGTGTATGCAGCACCAGCATGGAACTCACATCTTGTGAAGCATAAATAGAGATTTGAGAAAGTTCAGAAGGTTGCAATTAGATTAGTACCAGAATTGAGAGGCCTCGGCTATAAGGACAGGCTGAGAGAACTCGCTCTCACAACCTTACAGGAGAGAAGAAATGGCATATGATAACTACATTCAATATCTTGAGGGGAATAGACCACACACACCACCACTTATGACATGCTCGTGTTTTTAAAGGATATTTTGACAAAATTTATTTTTACTGAAAAAGATTTAAAAGCACCACTTCCTTATTACCGTATTCAGACGTGTAAGTTACAACACTGAGCCTTGTATACAGGCTTTGATATATCTGCTGGAATACATTACGGTACCTTATATTATTTTTCATCATTGCTCACCTAAGTTCCTTCTCAACCAAATGATCATATACTGAATTTAGCAGCTGGATGTATTCCCAAGGTTCTGCATGGAGCCACATCTCCAAGTCTCCCTTCGTAGTAAAGCACTCGCTCAACAAGCTGTTGAAAAGTAAATACCAAATCTGAAATATTGTCGTTAAAAATGGTGATATTCCCTATTTTTTATATTTATACATTATTGGCATAGAGAGTTTAAGACAGATATTAATTTACAAAATAAGGTTTCTATGATGATCACCAATTGCAATATATATATATATATATATATATATATATATATATATATATATATATATATATATATATATATATATATATATATATATATATATATATATATATATATATATATATACTTTGTGTATATACTAATGTATATATACATTAGTTTAAAATGTATTAATACATTTTAAACTTGTTAGTTACTCCTTTTTCCAGTCATTCAAGATTGGAAAATTATCAAAGACACTTACGCAATAACAGCATCTTTATGGCTATTGTTGAGCATCATGAGTGTATATTGATTGCTCTCTGTTGCTTGCCGGCATACGCCAAGTGCTGTGGAGTCTTCCTGCTGGCTCCCACTCTGCAAATTTTCTACAACATCCCGCAGGGTCTTTGCTTTCAGAAATACCCCAATATCTGTAACATTGAACTTTGCTTAATAGAAAGGTTTTATGTAGGCAGTTGGTTACAAAACTAATACACACTGAGAGCTGTCCAACTCCTGTATTGCACTTCTAATCATTATCTAAAAAGCAACAGTGCTTTTTGACAAGAAAACTTAATCCCACAGTGCAAGCAACGAAAACCCCAGTTCAAATCCTATCATCAGTGTAGGTTTCAAGATGAGTACCAAGAGATTAAACTACAAAAAAAAAAAAAAAAATTCTTTGGTACTAAGTTAATGGATTAGATCATTGTACTGTATATAACGAAAAAATACATTTACTTGCCTATATTATAGCCAAGATCCTTGAGTGATGTTACAGTCATAACAGAGTTGAGGGAGTTTCCACCAATCTCAAAGAATGAAGCATTAAGTGAGAGGCGTTTGCCTCTTGCAGCTGTTGGGCCCAACACACGGGCAACTGTTAGTAAGAGAGCACGAGCTGCGGCCTCCTCGTTATCACTCACACCGCTCAAATCAACATCTACTTGATAATCTATAATAGAATAAAGTTTGGGTAAAGATTAATTCCAACAAGATAAAGAAAACTGTCAAACTCTATATCTAACTGGGGTTAACACTAATTTGATAAGCGTGAGATCTTAAATTAAAATACTGACCAGGGTAAGATCATTTTGCCAAAATTACTTTACTGCATAGATCCTCAAATGATGTGGTAGAAATATTTGAAGTCAGAATCAAAAGCAAAACCCTAGTAATTATCCTCATATACAAACTCTCTGATGCAGCAGCCAAAAAAATTGCCTGAAAGGATAAGAACTTTCTTGAAAACCTTTAACGGGATTTAACGGGTTGTATTCTGGGGAAAATAAAGATTAAGGACCTGCCCGAAACTTTATGGGTGCTAATGGCTTTACAAGAATGCAAGAAGTCTCGTATATGTAAATGAAAAAAATAAAAACAAAGGAAGGAGGCATGATCAACAAACATACACCAAAACATTAATGAGACTTTGTGAAAAGTTCATATTTAGTCAGCGGATAGTGGAGCCAACTTGTGAATAATACTATTGATCCAATATTAAAAAATAATGAACTAATAACAAACATAATAATATCAAATACAACATATTTGGACCAAAATCTCATTGATGTAAAAATAAATTGTTGAATGTAATTAAATACTTTTTTTTTATTTACTATTCAGTAATTACCAGTAACTATAGCACTGGGGCAGCCAAGCCTTAGGAAATGACACCAGTCCTCCAAGACTCATTCAAACCTATCACAAGTCAGGACAATAACCTGTCTGAGGGAAAGGGAGCCGAGAGACCAGAGAAGGGTGGGTCTCAAGGCTCATGCAACATCTAAAAGCCCCATTGCTATACCTTGGAGGAGTAACTGAGGGGACCCTCTCAAAAAGCCATTAATAGGGAGAGGAGAATGTTTCCCCTTTATAATATTCCCACACAGCCATACTTCCATTTATGATTTTAATGGTCTGTAGAACACTACTAAGCAGTATATCCAAATTGGGTGCAATATTATTAAGAAAATGCATCCTTTGTAACTCATATAACAATACTCTTCAACCACCGGCATATAATGTAACAATATCTGTTTAGCCTTCCTCGTAAAAGCTCTTACCTTCTGTGCTTTTCTCATAAATATTGAGTAGCTGCAGACGGTCAACTTTACCATTCACTAGCAATGGTAGCTCATCCATGTGAACAAGCTAAAAGTCAATATTTTAACATTAATATAAAATAATTGCAGTATTGTACAGTGTCCACAAAAATCAGCAGCTCCCTCCAAATAAGAGTAATTACTAGAGGAATAAGGAATCAAAGGACACAGATATAGATATATTGCATAAATGCAGTATTAACTTTCCATGAGAACTGATGTGAAAACTTGCATTTAGTCATCCCTTACGACAGCTCTTATAATGTAATTACCAATAAAATTATATGCATTTTCTCATATTTAAGGTGAGCTCTACAACAGTAATAAAAATCCTATCTAGGTAGAATTAAAGCAAAAATATTGTGCTTTTTATTTATTAATTTTAAAATGCTTTTTACCTCATGCAAAAATTTTCTATTCATTTTATAGTATGGTATTTACAATTAGGTATTGTGCGTCTAACTTCATTTAATATTTAAATGACCTACATTTAATCTTTGCATGTCTGTCGACTGAGTGCTCACCTGTGGTTGCATATAAGGCATGAGAAGTGATGCAAGATATACTTTTAACACCTCAGGGACCAAATTCTTGTTTGTGGTTGTGTAAAATGCAACTAGAGC